CCGGTCGCCACTTCAATCAGTGGGCGACGTTCTGGGTACGCGTATCTTTCTTGCCTCTCTGTCCCCCCACATCGAGATAACGCGGTTTATACACCTTGCCGTAGGTCAATCAAAAGGAAGGTGTCGACCTCGAGACCCCGCCAACCGGCGGCATATTCAATTTCAGCGCCACTCGTGAGGCTAATGAAGACATCACCGATATCAATCTTCTCTCCAGCCGTCAACTCCAAGCTGCAACAAATCGATCACCGAACGTCGAGATCAGCTTCAACGGGCTTGCCGAAACCATCAAGGCCCTTCGTAACGACGCCACTCACCCACCCAATCAAGCACCTATCACACCTGCTCCCGACATCCTTCGCTTGCCTGCTGTGCCTCCGCCTAGACTACCACCACGCTTGGGCCTGGCAGACTTTGGCACGCAGTACACTATCTCCGCAGAGACCATCACACAACTTAGGCTTATGAAGGTTGTTGGACCTCATGTGCTACGTTTACTCTCAAAGGAGGATTTGTTAGCAGAGGGCTTGTCGCGGGGGCAGGTTGCTGAGGTCCGCGACGCGGAGGAGCGATGGATGAAGGATATTGCTACGGTGCCGTGGCGGTGCCACATGCGTGTTCTCATTCTCAGATTTCTTTGTTCACACGCGCTCTCTCGTACTTAGCTGCTTCATGGTACCTTTCTTGTACTCTATGTGCTTGTATCAACTAATTTTGCTCGACATTTCATCATGGTATAAGAGTGTCTAGGAAGAGGAATATGTACTGAAGGGATCTACAGGTAGTTCGAGTGAGAGAAGAATCCCCAAGTCATCTCGGGAGTGATGATGTCACATGCTAAGTACATCTCCAAGTGAATTTCCTTCGCGGTGAACTGATACATACCGTGACGACGTAGATGTGCCTTGATTGCAGAGAAAGCTTGTTCGATGGGGTTATAACATCTGTACTGGTACAATAAGTAGTACATAACATGGTTATAACCATGAAACTTCGGTAAACAGAGCCATGGTTATGTACTGAAGTATGTTAACCATGGTTGATCTACTTGACCTGCTACCTCGGACAAAAGGTAGATCAACCATGGTTATGGGTGATGCTGATGTACCGGCCCTGTAACCTCGGATGCAAGTACATCAACCGATGGTTATCGGTGGTCCGACCATTCACGTGCCCGGGCGCTCCCGGCATCCTGTTCAGGGTGGCCTGGATGCCGCCACTACCTGGATATTCCTCCCTCCTCGTCCGTTGCTTCTAGCACGGATATTATCCTTTCTAAATTATGTATAAATGGTTCATAGACACTGGCTAACACCCTCAAGCCGTCCGTGCCACAGTGAGGAAGTGAATGGGCGAGCAGTTCAGGCAGTAGTATTGGGTGCCACATTAGTATCAAACAGATGTATCTCTTGTTCCGCTGCGCCCTGCGTCTTCCGTATGTAGGCCGCACGATCAGCATACTATATATATTCCTCATGTATAGTGATCACAAGGCAAGGGGGTTACAAGTGGGTGATAATGATCATTGTATCAGGGGGTACATTCGGTGCCACACTATTCCCTTGCCGTTGAAAATTTTGTTCAGCTGCTTCCTGCGCCTTCGTCAAATAGGTGGTACACTCCGGGTACTATCAACATCCATCATATGTAGTAATAAAAACGACAGGGTGCTACAAGCGGGCGATAACGATTCAGAGCCCGTTGTATCAGGGGGTGTATTTGGTGCCACACAGGTTCCCTGCCTAAAAATATTTCTTTCCGCTAGCTTTTCCGCCTTATGTATATCCACAATGAATTCTAAGCGGTAGTTATATGATCTATGTTCCGTAACAAAAGGGATAGAGTGATTCGACCAAGCGATGGAGGTTGAGAGCCTGTCCAGTCAGTAGGACATCTGGTGCCACACATATTACCTCCACTCTGATTATTTCTTTTCGCTGCTTCCTCCGCCTTCTGTGCATGTATAAAATATTTCTGAAGCTCTATCCACTCGTAGAATCAACCAGAAAAACTGCTGAGTCCGTGCCAGCCCGGCATAAAAAGCAAGAGTCCGTTTGATCTGGGTGCGCCACTAGCTTGCTACAACTGTATATTCCTCCCACTGGCTTCTTTTGCTCGATTTCTGGCATGTTGTGTGGATACAAATTGTTTTTCAGTGTCGTAATATGTTTCACTAACCCTGATAGGCTCTGCGATGAGCGAGCAGAGAGCGAGAGTGTAACTAATCTTCGTAGTTCGGGCCACACAGCCTCCCTACCGGGATGCCCCTGCAGCTTGTTCGATAAATATCCCTTGCTCATGTGAACATGCGTACAGAGTAATGTATATTATCGCAATACGCCATATACCATATGCTACGCCATCCGTGCATTCCAATGAACAGTCTTCAACTTGGGTGTCCTGGTGCCACTTCAAAATCTCGGGGCAAAATATCCCGGCTGCTGTGAGCTCATGCTTGAACAGAGCTCCAAATCGCTTTCTTGAATGTATCGTTGTTGCTTAGAACCACTGTCTAGTTCCTATTGTTCTTACGCACCGTACCTTGTCAATGGCGCCTTGCAATCTACGCCACGCAGTTGCCCTGACGGGTATGCTGCCACAGGACCAGGTACGACATCAGTATATTTTAGTTTTGAGGGCTATGGATAGCTGCTCGCCGATCTCAGTGTACCGCCAGAACGAGCTTGCGGTGGACGACAAGGGCTAGCATCCGCTGAATACCTCAGTGAAGCCGCACCAAAGTTGGTTTCGCGGAGTGCAAAAATTGCCACGTGGCCTTAGTTGATCAATTCACAATTCCTAGTAATGATCTCACGCGCGTGTCAAGTGAACGCCTTCTCCAACCACGATCGACCTCTATTGTTCCTGCGTACTCTACGTGTCTAAAATCCGCATGTACGCCTCTCCTTGCCAGTCTTATCCGTCCGTACTCTCCTGCACCATACTAATTTGTTTTTCTAGCGGATACGTAGTATCAGAATTAATCAGTACGTCAAAACTAAGCGAAGGACTAAGCGTACCTTTTCTTCCCCTTCGAAGCGTTCCCATCGTTCTCTTTCCCTCTCTTTCTACCTCCACTGACTCGTTCCACCATCTCTCCTATCATAGGCCCGCCATCTTCCAACTGCTTCTGCATCGCCTTTAGCACCCAGGTTACATCCTCCACCATCGAAAGCAACTCGCCCTTCTCCTCCTCTGATCTCGCACGAAGGCGCCACCACAACAACGACATCAACAACATAAACATTCCGTTCATACCGCCCTTCGCCGTCTCACTCCATGTCTCGTCCGCGGGCAATTCACGACTCATCGGCCAGTCATCCTCTCCTCCGTGACGCCACTCCGGCTGCAGTCCCCGCCACCACAGTCTCACTTGCTTTCCGTAAATATCTAACGCCCCCAATGCCGGTGGCTTCTTCTGTCGCCCACATTTCAGCCAGTAATCTACCGAATCCGGTCGATCTTTGTGGTTCAATTTGTGGCCTTTAGCCTGCACGAAAGGGTCAGTACGCGAAAAGCTTCCGTTTATGCGTTGAACTTACGTCACGAGCAGGGTACCCCATCAATTTCTCCACCGATATCCAACTCGCCACCATCTCCGTCACGTCCTTCTTACACCAATCCTCTAACTCTCGGAGCAAGTCGACCTCGCCCTCTGTATGAGCCTTCGGCGGCGCTTTACTTGCGTCGAAGAATTGGTTTACGAACGGAACGACATCGGGAACAACCTCTGCGGTGCTGCTCGGTACTTTCGGCTCCGGTGGCGTGGTCGCCACCGCACCAATCGCAGAAGCAAGGTCCTTGTTTGGTGCGACAATATTCGATTCAGCCGCGATACGAGGACCGCCTGGATACGGAGGTTGAACGGGAGCCGAATATGCGGCTGAGATGCGATTAGTGGCCGGCGAGAGGGGTAACGGCTTAGAGTAGGCTGCGTGTGTAGGCGTAGTTGGGTGACTGCGAGGCAGAGAGGTCTGAGATTGGCGAGGGGTAGCGGGAGTAGTGGTTGCCGAGTCTTGTACGGGAGTCGCAAGCGGCAGATGTACGTTCTGATTCTCCTGCCCTGCTTCCGCCTCCGCTTCGGTCCTAACTATCTCGCTGCTCGTAGGATCGCCGAGGGTAGACGCCGTCGTAACGCAGGCGGCGGTCTGCGTCCCATCAGCCGAGAATTGAACGGGCGTGACATCTTTGTTGGAGGGAATAGGTTCGATCTCAGCGGAGGCTGGGGGATATTCCGCTGCAGCCGTTGTGGGAGTGGGCGTCGTGGCAGTAGAGGCCACGATGGGTGTAGTAGATGCAGTATCCGTGGCGGTACGAGGCTGAGGTTCAGAAGAAGCAATCGCAAGGGTGGGTTCGGTCGAATCGGGAGCGAGGGTAGGGGCGGCAGTAGAGGCCACGACGGGCGTAATAGATGCAGTATCTGTGGCGGTACGAGGCTGAGGTTCGGAAGAAGCAATCGCAAGGTTTGGTTCGGTCGAATCGGAAGCGAGGGTAGGGGTCGCCGTAGTTGCGGAGAGTGCAGGTTCGGTAGAAACAGTGGTGTGAACATGCTCGACACTCTCATCGCTGAGAGGTGTAAGCACGGTCGGAGCCACGGCGTCCTGCTTATTAGCAAGGCGAGCGCTCTGTCGTCTCTCCGTGTCCTCAATATTCTGACCCTTCGTGCATTCCACCCTTCTGAGCACAGGTCTAGGCTTCGGCTTCAACGGCACAGTCGTCTTCTCGAGTTCCTCTATGAGTCCAAGAGCCACTTGGAAGTTATGATTCCGCTCCAAGTTCTTCAACCGGCTGCGCTCGTACTCCGTCATCGAGGCCCTTGTATCCTCCCACGGCTTCAGTTTGCGAACGGGTTCTGCAGCGGATTCCATCTCCGCCTCACCGCCCTCGTCAACGCCACTCCAACTATCCTCATCGCCGCCAATTTGAACGTCGTCATCATCCGGCCCATCAGACTCATCAGCCGAATCACGGGCCTTACCCTTACCACGACGCCTACTCTCGCGGGCTTGTCCACTGGCGGAACGTGATACGGCACCGGAAATAGTAGGAGTCGTGGTCGGAGTCGTGGTCGCAGCGGGAGCAGTTGCGGTGGTATCAAGAGGAGGGCTGACGACGGTAGCGTTTACGGCGACAGCGGAGGTGGTGGTTGCATTGGAGAGTGAAGTGGACGCAGGAGTCGTATTCGATGACTGGCCGTTGGATGACGAGGATTCATCGGGGCCTCCTTCGTCGACGGAGTTCTCCCCCGTTCCGGTGAGCGAACGAAGAAGCCGTTCCTCGGGGGCTATTTTCATGAATGTGAGTACGATGAACTCGCGTGCGGAGGGAAATCAAGTTTGCTTACTCCACAATGTATGCAGATATTCCGTCCAGGCCTTGACGATTGCATCGTACTCGGTGTAGTGCTGGCGGAATGTCTTCTTGTCCGGACCGAATTCCCAATCGTAGCTGCAATATCCGGAGTAAGTACACGCCTACTCGACACGACATTCACGCACTTACGCGAACGATCCAATTCGTCCTTGCTGTCCAGGACACGGGCCCCCAACGAGAAAAGTCCCAACCATGCCCGTTTGCTGGTAGAGTTGACGTAACCAGAGGATTACGGTCGCTGGAACGGCTGCAATATTCCTGGTGAAAGGTGAAAGATAAGCATCACGCTTGTCAAAATAAATTGTTTACTGACTTGTCGAACTCCTGTAGCTGCTCACGAGTAGGGACCGGCTCTGGAGCCGGCTCACCCTCCTCTTTCTTCCCCTTCTTCGTCCCCTTCAACGTCGCCTTCCACAGCCTCTCGACTTCCTCTTGCACATCCTCCGGCTCACCGCTCAACCGATTGACTGCCCACTCCTGCTGGTACGTCAAATGATTCTTCTTCTTCTCATCCGACGTCATGCTCAAGTACTCGTTGAACGCGACCCTCATCTCGTTCTTTACACTCTCATAAGGCTTGCAATATTGCTCCCAGTAGTACTGGCCCCTTGACAAGTTACGAGTACGAGTCGTGCCCGGGATGGGCGGGAGGGGTTTATTGGAACGTCGACCCAGTCCGGGCGCGATCCCTTTCGCGTCGTGCTTGGTGCGATTCGGGTACCAGTCTCTCAGCCGCTATGGTAAGAGGTCTCAGACTGTGGTCCATAGAGCCACCAAAAATTCGGAACACTCACGGTCTTGTACTTTTGCCCCGTCTTCTTGCAGACAAGGTCCGGCCACAACTTGAACCATTCGCTGAAGAGGTTCTCGAAGAATTCCGGCAAGGTTTTCGATTCTCGCGCCTCGCGGAAACCTGGCAGCCTCGCCAACAAGAATTCGGTTTGATCAGGGGTAGTCCAGGGAACACCGACCATGGTTATGTGTTTGGGGGGGAAAGCGAGCAATGTCGTAGACGTCGTCGGTGGAGGTCGAGATACCGGCTTCGTTGACCGAGGTCCTTTTTTCGAATTCTTGGTATTTCACTTCGCCGCATCACGTGTGTAGGAACTCCAACGCCGACTTTGTGGCTGCTTGTTTGTCCGTGGCACGTCGCCAACGCAATATGCCGGTCGTAGCCGGTGGCCGTCTTATCAGCAGAGCTCGAGGATGCTGCGCTGCCATCGCTCTTCCTACCACCACAATCCTCCCTCTCCCAAGCCTCAACCATGTCTCAAGGTAGGTATTCCTCGAAGACCTCGAGTTTTCCTCGCGCGCCATCTAATATAATATTCAGCTGCAGGGTCACAGCCTGATGCTATTCAGGGAGTGAGTCTTCCGCGATACCTGGTCGTTCATGGCAGGGACGGATTGGCGTTGTATGCCGACTGGTAAGTTGTCTCGTATACGCGTCTCCCTCCCTCCTTTTTTCGCTCAACTCACTTTCTCTCGCAGGCCTCAGGCGGCGTTGAGGGTACAAGGCTTCCCCAACGCTATATACAAGAAATATCGCACCGGTGAGGAAGCTCGCACTGCGTACGATCGTGTTAGGGAGATTATGGACACCCACGGCACGACCAATGTCACCCCCGCCATCATGGCGTCTCTCCGCGCCCCGCCTCCCTATCAACCCTTCGTCAACCCCTCCGCTGTCTCTGCTACCGTTTCTCCCACTCCCGCGTCTGTCCCCGCCTCCGCCGATGCCCCGCCCGCCGATGCCCCGCCCGCCGATCTTCCCCCCGCCGAGGCTTCCCCCCTTGCTGACACCCCTTCTGAGACTCCTGCTGTCATCCACGACGATCTGATCGCCACGATGCAGCCCTACGATACCTTGTCCGAGGTTGGAGTGAGCGACGAGGAGGACACCCAGTCCCTTCTCGAGACATCGTCCGTAGGGTCGGTTCCCGAGACGGAGATCGATGAGGAGGAGGCTCGCGAAGCGGCCCACGCGGTATGTCTTCGTTCTGATGCAATGTGCCAATCGCTGATGTGTTCCAAATCAGGTTTCTAGCCTTGTGGTGCCGGTTCCTGGTAGCGCGCCCGATACTCCGGTGAGTTCCGCTTTGGCCGATCCTGAGGCGGCCGCGAATCGCACTATCGAAGCGGTGCGTTATGAGGCCGTGCACAGGAGTCGCCGACCTTTCCCGACGGTCCACCCTCTTCTTCGTGCCGCTGTCGAAGCCTCGGTAAGCTCATCACTTAGTTGATCTTGTTCACACTAACGTTATGTTCGAGGTTTGATGCAGCTCACTTCCGACTCGGTTCGCGACGCCAGTATCCGCTCCGCCTACATCGAGGACACCGCGAAGATGCTTGCGGACGTGTTATTCACCGGTGAGGCATACTATGTAATCGTTCGTGGCCGAGAACCTGGAGTCACGCGTACAAACTGGTACGCCCCGGTCTCCAATCTCCCCTGCTCCTCATCGATATCCAAACGATGCTAACATGCTCATAGGGTCGGTGCGAGGGTCCACGTTGATGGCATTGCCGATGCCTACTACCAGGCTTTCCTTTCTGGAGCGACGGCTCGTCGTTGGTGGAAGGAACACCGCGGGGAGGCCGTCAACTACGGCCCCACCGGTGTGGCGTCCACGTTGGACAACAACAACCCCAACGGGCCAGTTCCCACGGCGAACCGTTAGATGGTTCATGTTAGCGAGTAGCCGTAACTCCGCTTTCTGTAGCTTCTTTTCTTCTTTCGCGCCGTCGTTCCGTTCCTCCTATTCGTTTCTGTGTACGATCCGTAGGAGTCGTAGAAAGGTGTGGTGCAGTGGGTTTGTGGTTTAGCGAGCGTCGTAGGGCTCGCGGGGAAATTCCTGCGGTTGCTGTAGCTGGCAAGGGGCGGTGTGCCTAACTATCCTGGTTTGGTGGTCAGTGTCATGTGTGGTGTCTCCGTCTGTGTCGTGTTGTCCGTCTGTGCCGTGTTCTTCGTGTTGCGTGTTGGGCTTGATTAGCCGCAAATATAGTTATACCCCGGATGTTGTTGCCTGAACCCGTGTGCGGAGTGTGAATGTGCAGGTTCAAATATCTGCTGCCAACCTTTTTCGTCAAGACCACCACCATCAACTCGAGACGCGGCTGAATTCCAATGCCCACTGTGAGTTCTTTATTGACCAAGAGTGCGTACATGCTTATGAAAGTTTGTTCATATAGACTCTCTCTTCCTGCGAGCAGTTCCAAGACGAGGGGAGGATCTACATGACCCGCAAAAGAGGTACGGGTCTTCTGTTATCATTCGCATTTGAAATGTTGACTGCTCCCTCCAGCTCCTACTCGCGTCACTCGCAATACGTGCCGCTTCATGCTCTGCGAGGAGCACAAGATCGCGTTCTTCGTCAAGGTCAAGTGGGTTCGCGCAGGCGATGAGTGGATTGCGTTGAAGGCAGATGGGGTGCATATCCCGCGTTGCGCGGATTACGTAGTCTTTGGAGATCCTCTTGGACTCCTGTCCGGGTCTGCAGCTTAGGTTGAGTAGGAGGCGCCGAGGCTCTGCACCCAATGTACCATGCTGCAGTTATTCGAGCGTTTCATCTTCTACTTCCAGTAGATGATTCCCCGTTCAATAGCATACAGTGCTGTTCACGATAGATCCCTCAGTGTCCTCGGACGAAACAACCTGAGAGCTGTACGAAGGACGTTACATTATCACTACAACTATTTCAAAGCTCTCGGACGCAGTTGTTGCCTCGGCGTATCTTCAACGCTGCAGTGATCGCCTGAGACGTCCGTTTTCCGATACGTTGTCTCTCCAAGGCACCGCCCCTGTGCACTACTTCGTCATCGTTCAATCCGCCCGCTGCAAGTGCGTGTGCCACTCCAGAGTGGCGCCGTCATGTTCGACGACGAGCACGGTCTTTCAGTCAGTCCCGCGATATTTGCGATGTTTTTTGTGGGAGAGTGACTACTCTAGGACTGCCTAACCTATTTGGCCACTCACACCGTGAAAATAAATGGCAGGGATATGATATATGTGTCTTGCTTCTAACTGTGTGGCCCAAACCGAAGTACCATAATGCGAATTTGAGAAACTGGAGCAAAGAGGTTCAAAAGATGATAGTATCTCGGGGTAGGGAATCTATTCAGGGTAATTGTCATGTATGTTCGGTGAATTTAGGGGCAGTAGGTCACTGGGAAACTGAGGAGGACAGTGTATGAGGGTAACCGGGGGATACTGGAAGCACAGCGACCTTCCAGGAGCGAGAAATGGATTGATAATGCACATGGTGGTATAGTATGGTATGTAGATGATGACATAGTGTTGATTTGACCGATCAAAAGTGCGGAAGATATGAGAAATGGGTGGCACCGAGGAGGGTTGAGATAGGTATTGTGAACCGTACAAGGAAATCGAAGCAAAGATTGATACATGGATACATATTACTCACTGTATCGAACCCAATATAATGCCAACCTACGCCAACTTTAGTCTCCAAAACGGCCGTAACGTGATAGGTGCACAAGGTGTGTTCGTCCAGAGGTGAGCAGTGCGCAGGGCCCTCATTTCATGACGCTCGACTTCAGGGAGCGGGATTATCGATCCATAATATCGAAATACTATGCTGTCCGAGTTTGAAGATGAGGGAGGAAGCGTGCGATGTGCAAGTGCTGATGCAAGAGGTACTGCGCTACGAGGGTTGTGCTCAACGTCGGCGACGACGTGGACGACGTTCATGGTGATCCGAGCGCGTTCAATCCATCGGGATAGTGGTGTCTGATATGGTTGATGATGAATACAAAAAGTCCGAGTCGATCCGGGGATCTTGTAGGCGAGAAGTCGAGATGAAGGTGGTAGAAAGAGCGAAAAGCGGTTCAACTGAACAGAGTTCGAAGCGCGTCTTCAAAGCGTTTTGCGTTTTCGTCAACTTCCACCACCTCCGATTGAGTGTCCGCCCTTGCTTTTCACTCATTTGCCTCACACTCTCCCTCGGACTTTCGACCCAGAACACTAGAATTGCTATAGCTTACGTTCACGCATAGTCACTTGCTCTGGGATCTTGTTGCACTTCGTGAATGTTGTTGCCGATGTTCAAAATACCGCTCCCAACAGCACCCCCTCGCATCGACAATTGAACATCGCCTGCACTTTATCTCTCCTCGAAACTTTTTTATCACTATATTTCGATGTTCTTCAGCTCCAACTCAGCTCCAGGTATGTTCTCCTCGTAAATTGCTATTTCCGTGGATAGTCCAACATCCTTCACTTCCAGATTACATTGTTGGATGCAAATCACATCTACGACATCTTGGAGCTTGAACAAGGAGAAGTTTGTGATGTAAATTAGGTATTCTTGGTGAGTGCTGCATACACATGCACTCAGATTGGCTTGAAACCGTCCGTAAGGTGTGTTATCCCGTCTTTACTGCAACTCAGTGCCACCCCACATACATCTCCTATACGTCTTTCCTCCACGAAGAAAACACCCAGCCATCGCAATTATGATACATTGGATCTAATATCCAAACATCCACTCCTCTCCATCACCCAGTAGCTCATTGTGCCCCCCATTTCCTCATGCTACCTTCATACATCTTCCAACTCCATATTACAAGGTGTCGTAGACTTTATATTCAGCCAAACTACTTAGCGTCGACTGGAATCTGTTGTAATACCACATCATAACCTCTCCTCTCGCCATGCTACTCATTTTGTCGTAGAAATTCATTTCCTCCGATTTTTTTGGGCCACAGAGCGAAGTATATACATATATACACATGCTTAATTCATGACTTGAATGTACAGGGCACAGGTAAAAACAAGAGAGTACTAAACATTGCAATATGAAAGCGATTTTTGATGCATTCTTCTCGCGTAGAGGAGGCAATGTGCTCGTCGAGCACGACAGCGACCAGTGCGAATGCCACTCGAAGCCTACCCAGCGCCAATGCGCTTCGGCGTCTATCCTCGAACATCACCGCCAGCTAACGCCTCGCTTCTCATCTGCATCTATCCCTCTCCCATCAGCAATGGGCTCTCCTTACTGTCAACCAAATACCGAAATACGAAGGCTCAAGGAAAATTACATGTATGTGTCCATATGTTACTCTTGTCGCCACAAATATCGAGACTCAGCCTCCAGATCAACAGACGAAGTCTAGCCGCCGGGACACGAAGCCTGAAGCCTGACGGTTGATTTCGTCCATCGGTCAGAGTACTCAACAGAACGGAGGACTATACGTTTATCCCGAGTGTCCATTGGGGTTTGGTAGCGCAAGCAGAGTTGGAGATGTGTGAGCAACCACTCCGTCTGCTGGTGAGTCCGACTACATGCATCTGTGCGCTTGCTGCTTGTCACCCTCCTGCTGACTACACAAGTCTTATCGTCAAAGCAGAGGTGGATCACGGGTACTACCCAATCAACGCACAGTTGGTGACGCGTTCTTCCACACCGCTCAACGAACAAGATCATGGTGCACAGTGAGTCGAACCCGAGATTTTTGCAGACTGTCGCGTCCTCATTCACGACGCGCATATACTACATCAACGGAAGCCTCAGATAAGGCATAGAACGAGATGTCTTCAAGGTCGGTGCCTCCGTTTTCATCTTTTCTAGGCCTGTTTGGAATTTGATTTATTTCATTGCGTGATCAGCCGCGGCCGATGAACAACGAGTCCTGCCTGAAGGAATTTCGTGAGTTTTATCGTGAGTTTCTTCTCCACTCTTACCAGTCTGGATAACAAAACCATAGGCTGATGCAGCTTTCACTGTTGTGCATAGCAATTCAACACCGGGTACACGAAGTCCTTGTAGGACGAACGTCACAGGCTCAGAGAGCGGGGCTGACCGGTCCCTGTTTCTATTTCAGATTGTCAAAAATCGTGAACGTGCGCGGTTCTTATCTTGGCGACGTAAGCTTGTCCGGTGCGGCGACGAAGGGATCCCTTCCTTCCTTCCCTCCCTTCCCTCCGGCTCGCCCACTATCACCCCGCCACCCCCCCCCCCCCCCGTGCGATTGGACTATAAGGTCAGTCCCAAAATCTACTTACGGTTCGACCACCTACTTACTTGCGCTATTCGCGTTTGTGCCGCAAAGTCTAGCATACATGTCTATGGCCGGCGGTAGGAAAATTTCCAAGTCCAAGCTACCGAAGTTCGCCTTCGCTGAACCTGCACCACAACCGAAGCAGAAGAAGACGCATTCAACGCATCTTCACAGTACCGTCTCTCAGGCGAGTGGATCAAGGCAGACGGCCTCGCGATCATATGTAGTCGAAACCCAGCAACAGCCGCCAAAACCTGCGCCGTGTTCAGCAGACGATTCCACCACCAACGAGGCGGACGTAATTGACCACACGAGCTACTATATCACAGAGGAAGATGGGCGGCGGGCGAAGAGGCAACGGCGCACGAAGGGTCGTCGAGCAAAAACGATGAAGCGAGTAAGTCACATCGCGCCCTATATCCCTCTATGACAATAGTTTCTGACTCAAATTAGGTTGATCTTCTGGCGGAGTTTCTCAGCAATCGACAGGTCTTCGTCGACGAGATGCTCCGACGAGAAGGACTGGCTGGTCAGGAAGAGGGTGCGAAGTGTCATGGATGTGGCATTGAGAGTGGCGAATTACGTTGCAAAGACTGTACGGGAAGTAAGCTCTTTTGTGGTGGGTGCATGTGCCGTACGCACCGTGCAGCGCCTCTACATAGAATTCAGGTATGGTTCTCTCGATCGTCGAACGTAGATCTTCAGCTTACGTTGTGGAACAGCGCTGGAACGGCTCCTACTTTTCTCGGTACAGTCTCCGCGAAGCAGGCCTCATGGTACAACTCGGTCATGACGGCGACGAATGTCCACACGCACACGAAGCTATCACCCTCACCATCATTGACACCACCGGCATCCACACCGTCGCGGTACAATTCTGCGACTGCGCGAACGTTGGCGGATCACAGCGCTACGTTCAGATGATACGCGCCGACTGGTGGCCTGCAACGTTCAGGCTTCCACGAACAGGTTTCACTATTCGCGTCCTCGAATTCTTCCACACCCTCACGCTCCAGTCGAAAACCAACGGCTATGATTTTTATAAGAGTTTGGTTTGTATCTCCGACGGTAGTGGTCTCACTCACTTTCCTGTAAGTTCTCGTTCGTTCTGATTTAACCATTTCGTGCGCTGATCAAATCTTCGTTATGTAGACACGCTACAACGAGTTTATGCTCGTTATGCGCTGCTTCAAGGTGTATCGAATGCTCAAACGTGGAGCGAGAGGTCACGATCCTGCGGGTGTGGAAAGGACCGGCCCTGGGGATTTGGTCGTCAGTTGCGGGGCTTGTCCTCACTGTGGTATCAACGCGCCCCTCGATATCACGACCATACCGCCGGAGAAGAGGTAAGCTTACCAGTCTTCAGAGTAACCTCGCTTGCCTGATCGACATTTGCAGGTGGCTTTTTACCTCTTTCTGGGCTATCGATGCGAACTTCAAGATGAAGATGAAGGCTCATGGATATGACGACGTACCGCTTGCGGATGGGTGGGCGTATTTCGTCCCCTCCGCTCCCTATCGGTTTGTTCTTGAGAATCACATTGCCGAGCCGGAGGTCAGTCTTGCCGGGTTTCATCAGCGATAGAACATCATTAAGGTGGCTCTATTCACAGCTCAAGGCATGTGATTCCACCTTCGACGCTGTCGACCATGCGAACACGCCCGGATCACCGCGGTTCTCTGTCAACGGTGGAGGGGCCGCTGTATGCGGTCGTCATAATTTATTCCAGAAGAATGGCGTGGGGGATCTCGAGCGAGGCGAACGGTACGCGTTTCTACAACAGTTGTTGAGCGTAACAGTCGCTGACCGAACAATAGCTACATAAACATGGGATATATTTTACTCAATGCAATCATGATGACATGCAAGGGCTGGCACCGCCTTGTTCTCTCCTACGACATCGCGTGCCGATTTTCCTCAAATTTCGCAAAACGAATGAAAGATTTTCCTTTGGCGTTCCAGATCGTGGTCACCGACACCGAGATAATCTTTCTGGTCCCCAAATTCCATCTACCCGCGCACGGTGGCAGCTGCCATGTCAAGTATGCTTTCAATTATCATACCGGGGTAGGACGGACATACGGCGAGGGTATTGAGGCGAATTGGTCGGAGACCAATTTTTTTGCGTTGATGACGCGTGAGATGCCGTGGGCAGCGAGGCATGAGGCTATTGATGATTTTCTCGGGGGCATGAACTGGGGGAAGACGCTTTCGTTCGGTACGTCTTTCGCTTTCGGTATCGTGGCGCGAAGGCTGATATTGTACATGCCTTACAGGCACACAGTTCCTGAAGTCTCTCCGGATCGCCTACGCTGCACGCATACGGCACCAGAAGAAGTTCGATAAGCTCAAGGATACATTCAACTCCGATGTCGTAAAAAACTGGGACACAATGGTAGTGGCTTGGGACGCCGATCATAGCGCGCCGAACCCGTATGAAGAGCCGCCTGCACAGGGTATGCACGTTTCGCATCCCTGTCCATATTCCTGGCCCATTGACTGTACAACCACCCGTAGAAATCACCGTAAAAGAGTGCCTTCGCCGGCTTGCAGAAGAGGAAGCTGCCAAAGCCACCCGCGGGGTATTCTCGCCACATGAAACTACCGCAAGTCGTTTCTTAGCGGCCGGTCTGGAGCTTCAAGAGCAACAGTAAGTTTTGATCTCCTTCGAATACGGATGCATACTCACCACCCGCAATAGACGTGTCTTGAAAGGGAAAAGGTGCAAAACTGCCGATGAGAAGCTCGCGATGCAGACGGGCCGGAACACGCTCACGCGACGCATCAATTCGTGGTTTGCCCTTCAAACCCTCTACATGCCCGTCGTTTCGACCCTTCGGAAGCCGCCTGACACAAGTGTTGCATCGGATGAGTTGTATAAGCCCGAGGATGAAAAGCTATGGATGCCGTCCGAGCTGCCCAAGGAGCAATGGGGTGGGCTTGGGTATGGTCTCGTTGAGAAAGAGACAAGCCTTCGTGAGGCTGAGGCAGATGATGCGCTTCACCAGGTGCGCCCCATCATCCATATCGTGACATTTCACCTTCCTGAATTTCGATATTGTTTCAGATTCGACGCCATATCCGCATCAAGATGACTCTGGTGAACTTTAAGGGTGTCCATGCCTCCGGACGGTCGAACGTGAGGTCTACTCGAGCACGAACGGCCATCACATCAATCAGCGACAAACTTAATCGCTGGCGGGCACGCTACAACGCGGCATACGGTGCGCTTCGTGTCCTCGGTGATCCTGAAGGTAGCTGGGTGCGTCGCCTCAAGCCGCTCGCTCATAATGATATGCGCAATCCATCTGGCCATGACCCCGACGACTCGGACGCGGAGGATAGTCGTCCAGCGGCTCGACGTCGGCGTGCGTTGGGTGAGGGGCACAGGGAGATCCCGTGGATCTGGACTGTACTACAGCCCGATCGTCGGGACGCTGCTATGCCGGACAAAGCAACGGATGAGGAGGTTGTCGAAGGTATGTATTTTTCTTTTCAATCGAGTCGGTGTATCCTCAACTGAGGTTTCTTTTCGATAATTTACAGGGATGAGAACAGTCTACACCAAGGGACGAGCACGGGTTCTACGCTGGGAAGAAGAGATCCAGCTTCTTCGCGAGGAGATGAGGCGGGTGTTGGTGTTCATGCTCTGGAAGAGGGATTGGTGGTTGGAACGGGCGGACCTTCGCGCAGACGCTCGGGTGGACATACGGTCGGGGTTGAAAGCATACGCCGCTCGTCAAGCGGCTGTATTCGGGGGTCTAGCATTACAGTTCGCGACGCTGTGGCGACCCGCTCTCGGCTCTATGGGGATGCAGGTTGAGTGGCCTGCCGAACTTATCGACGCCACATCACATATTCCCATACCTCTGAACAATCCTAACCGGACACGGGCTGTGGACGGCGACGAGGAGGAAGAAGTCGTGGGTGGAGATCAGAGAGCCGAAGGGGACGACTCTGAGCATGATTCAGAGGACTTAGAGCTGCCAGAGGAGGCAGTTTTGCCGGAGTCCGATGGTGGCGACGACTCTGATTATGCTTAGGCTTGGCTTACGCCGTCGGAATAGACGCGGTTGTGTTTGTATTTTGATGTCTTTGTATTTTTTTGTCCCTGTATCATTATCTACCATGTATCAATGTCATTGGTGAGTGGATGTCTCGCCAGATGCGAGTTCTATCATGGAATGCCGACTTGCACAAATTCCGTTCGAGGTAGCCACGTGGCTTTGGCGAACTCAGAGTGCAAGTCGCGACTTCGACGTTTGCGGCGGCTTGCTTACCAATTACGCACGTGGCGCGTCTGCCTGCGCAAGACTGTGTGTGACTGCAAAGCTAATGTGGACACGCTAACTGAGATATATTCAACGGTAGGCGATTGTAGAATCGATATACATGTGATATAGTAAAACAAGGTCAAGAAGAACGGACTGAACCACTGGAATCATGAGATAACCGATGGACACAGAGCAGACTCGAGTCTCTCAGCGATACAGGAGGCCTTTCATGTTGTCCGGCTCGACGACAATTCAACGGTTCGACTTCATCAACAAAGTTGCATAATGTAGAAAAAACATATATGACTCAATAAAAACGGAAACAGCATTTTTAGAGTAACAACTGAGGCAAAAAAACAGTGTGCTTCTGTACGCCACCCTGCCAGCCTGCCTGACTGGAATACCAATGAAGGAAATATCAAGTAACCACACAAAGTAACGCGTGAGAGTAATCAGGAACATCATTGCTACATTACTGGGTGGAATAAGTATTCGGGGAGCGAAAGGGTGTGGCCCAGAATATATGCTGGTCCAAACATTTCCTGTACAGGACACTGGGATCCTATGGCCTATCTGTAACAGAGGTGGGTCTATCTACATCACATGCGGGCTGAATACCATAGCTGGTATCCATATATTGCCCGAGGGAAGGGAGGAATATTTGGTTAGCGGGAGGGTGTGGCCCAGAACATACTCAAAACCTAAAACGTTCCTGTACGATATATGGACGTCGTGGGGACTATTGGTGCTGGCATTGTGTTATATATCATCTATTATGAGTCTTTCAGTCATCAATAATAGCGATATATGGCTGGGTACGCAGTAAGGAATATCCAGGCTGGGACAGAGTAGTGTGGCCCATCATAATATTGTACCCCTGATGAGATACTTTCTTGTATTCGATACAGCGGTCAAATTGACTAGCAGCGTTGTATTTGTGTCAAGGGGCATCTAATTTATCTTTTAGACCCATGAAACGAAGCTATCAACGACCGGGTGCGCAGAAATGAATATCTGGGCTGGCGCAGGGTAGTGTGGCCCATAATATACCCCGGCCCTAAAGCTTGCCTGCGCGCGATAGAAGGGTCGCAGAGGCTAACGGCATCACATTCGAATCAAATAACATCTAATACAATTGGTAGACCCATAAAAAGTAACCATGAATCGCCGAGTGCACAGGAATGAATATCTGGGGGCAGGGCACTGTGCCCCGTAATATACCCCGTGCCTGAAGCTTTCCTGCCCGCGATAGAGGAATCGCACACGCTGAAAGCGTTTTATTTGAGTCTATTTGCATCTATTGTAATTTTCAGACTCATTAAACGAAGCCATGAATGACCGGGTACGCAGGAATGAATATTTCGGCAGGGGCAGGGCAGTGTGGCCCACAGTATACCCCGCCCCTAAAGCTTTCCTGAGTGCGATAGAGATCGCACACGCCAACGGCGTTGTATTTGGGTTGAATATCATCCAATACAATTGGTAGACCCATAAAAAGCAGCCATAAATGGCCGGGTGCACAGGAAGGAATACCTGCGCTGGGGCAGGGTAGTGTGGCCCATAGTACACCCGGACCCTAGTGCTTTCCTGTGCGCGATAGAGGGATAGCACACGCCAACGGCGTCATATTTGAGTCCAATAACATCATATTCAATTGGAAGACCTATGTGATGCAGCCGTAAATGATCGAGTGCGTAGGAATGAATATCTGGCTGGGGCAGGGCAGTGTGGCCCATAGCATACCTCGGCCCTAATGCTTTCCTGTGCGTGATGTGCTCATCGCACAAGCTAAAGGCATTAATGATGATTCTCATAACATAAAATATAATTGTTAGACTCATAGATAGCAGGCATAAACCTCCCAATGCGCAGGAAGAAATATCTGGGCTGGGGCAGGGTAATGTGGCCCATACTATACCTCCCAATGATTTCCTGCGCACGATAGGGTATAATATTCAAGTAGAATATCCTGTAACACAATTGTTGGGTCCATGGAACGATGCCATAAGCGACCGGGTACGCAGGAATGAATATTAGAGCAGGGGCAGGGCAGTGTGGCCCACAGTACTATACCCCGCCCCTAAAGCTTTCCTGAGCGCGATAGAGGGATCGCACATGCCAACGGCGTTGCATTTGAGTTAAATAGCATACAATCCAATTGGAAGTCCCATAAGAAGCAGCCATAAATGGCCGAGTGCGCAGGAAGTAATACCTGCGCTGGGGCAGGGTAGTGTGGCCCATGGTACACCCCGACCCGAATGCTTTCCTGTGCGCGATACAAGGATCGCACAGACTTGGGGCGTTATATATGAGTTATGTAGAGTCAAACACAGTTGGCAGACTAATGAATGGCAGCGATAAACCACCGGGTGCCCAGAAAGGAATATATGGGCTGGGGCAAGGAAGTGTGGCCCATACCATGGCGCGGACCGAATGCTTTTCTGAGCGCGATACGGCCATCGAACGAGCTAGGCGTGTCGGTCCCAGGCAGAAAAGAATCAGATAGGAATATAAAAGCAATTAGAAGCGTAAGAAAAGCCAAGGGAGCACGCAAAGGAATATCCAGGCAGTGCCAAACCAGTGTGGCCCAAAAGTCGCCGGTGTATTGAAGGTTTCCCTGCACGGTTCACAGGCTTGCAGCAAGCTAGTCGCATTGGAGACCTATAGTACAGCATTAAACAAGAATTTACAAGCTAAAACGGGCACCATAGAAGGTAAGGGAGGATGCGGAAGAATATCCATGGAGGAACACCCTAACAGGCCACCCATCCGGAAGCTGCCGGTCATCCGAGTCGCCGGTCCACCAATATCCAGTGGTTGATGTACTCGGATGCGAGGTTACAGAGCCGGTACATCACAATCATACATAACCATGGTTGATGTACTTTCCGCCCGAGATACAGTGGCCATGTACATCATCCCATGGTTATCCCTGGAAGTAAGTACCCATGGATATGGATACCGGCACACATAGGTTATAACCACTTATGTACTACTTAGTTTACCAAGGCAGCCCGTTATAATCAGGAGAATATGGTGACAGGTACTCTATCCGGCAGCCTGACAGCACAATGAGGTGACAGGGAAAGACCAGACAAGATATGGACGCACCCCAGCTCTCAATGAGCTCTTGGACCTCGGGAGACTTGTGGATACGTGCGTTGTCCATTACAATAAGCTCGAAGAATATGAGTACCATACATGACAGCTGACTATATGCGTGACAAAACGTACCAGGTCTCTTCGAAGGAAGTCTATGAACAACGCCGCATTGAAAGACCCGTACACTACCTTCGCAGCTGTGATTCCCTCATCCAGAGCCATTGCCGCTAACATCGACACCCGCTCTCCACGCACAAAAGGTTCATAACACTCAACTCTTTCCCCTCTCTCTGCTCGACCCCATAGCCTCGCATATGTTCTGTCGTTCTTTGATACCTCATCGAGGAATACGAAGCACGCTGGAGAGTACCGGCCGGCGCGGCGAATGAAGTCAGCACGCTTGATAGGGTCTCGCTCTCGTGCAAGCTTTTGGACCCTCTTGACACTCAGGTCAGCCTTCGCGAAGTACCGATGAATGGTGGAGATGTGTACTGAGAGGTACCGATGGTCGCGAAGGCGCTTGCAATACTCGTCGAGAAAAAGATTCGGTTTAGTGCGAGCAAGTTCAAGAAGGAGCTGGCGGTCGTGGTGGAGAGTCTTTGAAGGTCGGCCACGACCGATGGCTTCATCCTTGGAGACTGTGCCCTTCTGTCGGTACCGTTTCCAGGTGCGAAAAAGAGTACGACGAGATATGGAAGTTAGGTGGGCGATCTCGTCGACAGTATCGCGACCACGCCTCCGAAGACGCACAGAGATCATCTTGGCATCATCAGAGTGCCGTTGGTAAACCATGGTAAAGGATATGCGAAAGAGGGACAGGTATAGCTATTGGGTTTACCAGAGCCGTTGTCGACG